ATTGTAAAAAATTAAATTAAATTAAATTTGGTAAGTAAATTAATTAATTAATTAATTAATTAACGTTTTAAATTTATACTATGATTTTATCCTTGTTCTTGTTGCGACTCTCTTGAATAACAAATTTAACTTTTTAATTTATTTAAGGATAAGTAAAAGATTAATTATTTATAGTTTTACATTTTTGTCGGTCCGTCAGAAAAATAGATTCGGCCCGTCGAACATGCTTATAATTTTAAATTCTTTTGTATTATAAATTTGTGGATACTATTTATATTATATAATTTTATCATCTAATAAAAAATAAATTTAAATACAGTTAAGTTTTATAACAAATCGCTGACAAATCTTTAACAAATAACATTTGTTGAAAAACTTAAAGGAAAAAATTATTGAAAAATGGAATGTGATAAGTAAATTGTAAAAAATAAAATAAAATTGAATTTGATAAGTAAATTAATTAATTAACATTTTAAATTTATATCATGACTTCATCCTTATTTTTTATCCTTCTTCTTATTGTAACTCTCTTTAATAACAAATTTAATTTTTTAATTTATTTGTAAAAAAATAAGTAAAAGATTAATTATTTATAGTCTTATACTTTTGTTGGCCCATCAAAAAAATATGTTCATATATCATAATTGTCTCATATTTTTTATTAAAATAAATATTATAACAATTTTTAATATAAATGCTATCATTTTATCATAAAAATACTAACATTTATTCAAGTTAATTTTATTTTTTCTTGTATCATGTCATAATATCATATATCATTTTCTATCAAGATGGCATTTTTATTAAAATAAAAATTATAAAAAAAAACATACTTGCTTGAATCAATCAACTATCAATTCATTAAAAATGAATAGATATAAACACCTTATAATATTCTTTTGCAATTTTTAAAAAACACACTACAAAAGGATAAAAAAGTAATTAATTAAATATAAATTTTAAATCCACATGATCAAACATTTGCATTAACCTATTACCAAAAAATTAATTTAATACAAACACTACAAAAAGAAAACTCATTTATGTGTCTTTTTTATCTTATTATGCATTGAATGTTAATAACAAACAATAACAAACCAACATTATTATTAAAAAACAAATATTTTTAAATAAATAATATATATTTTTAAAGTTTATTATTAATAAATATTAATAATATCAATTTTAAAGTTTGTCATGATAATTTTAAAGTTTGTTATTAATAAATATTAATAATATCTTAAAAATTATATTATTTTTAATACATATTAGAAAACAATAAAAAAATATCTATCTAAATAGGTTTAATTAAGATAATCTGTAATTTTGATAATAGTTTATTTTTTATAAAAACAAGTAAAAAAATAAATTACTATCATTTTATTAATTATTTGATATTTTTTATTATTTTTATTTATCACATTATTAATATTAATTGTTATTATTAAAAATGAAACGAAATAAAATAAAATTCATCTAATTTGAATCAATTACGTTAAAATAGAAAAATAAATTACAAAAAAATCTAAATAGCAATCGTTTAAATGGGTAACCTGCTAAATCCCAATCAAACTTATACATTAATCATAGCATAATCGAATAAATCAATCATTAATTAAATTTATATATAGTGTTATAAAGAAAATAAAGAAAATATTATAATATAATATAACATTCTATACTTTAATAAACAAAATATTACAATATTATAATATAATATAACATTCTATAATATAACAATCAATTATTAATTAAATTTATATATTTCAATCGATCGTTCTATATTTTGTGTACTTATATAATATAATAAAATATTATAAAGAAAATAAATAATAAATAAAATCTATCTCTCTAAATGGAATGCTCTGTAAACTGAAATCCTTAAATCTCTCTCTTTTTTGAACTCGTTTTCTCTCATATATCTTCTTGATCTTATCGATTCTCTCTATTTCTCACTGTTCATATAAGAAAACAACAACAATAACAACAACAACACTTTCAATCTCTTGTAATGTCGTTCCCTATCTCTCATTATTCTTTCAGTTCATCGATTAAATAATTCCCTCTTCCCCTGTATCACCGATTTTCAAAGCAATAATACACAAATTAAACATGTCTCAAAACAACGATTCAAACAATATGATTCAAACAAAATGATGCAAGCAAAAGCCATAACCCCAATCGATTCCCAAATTCCCCATTCTCATTAACTTTCGAGGCATTAGAGATTACTTGAGTGATAAAATGCGAAAATTTAAACCATAAATTAAATGAAGACAACACAAATCAGGTACGCTTTGGTCTTATTTGCTTCTATCTCTCTTCGGACGTCTTTGTTCCGTCTTCTTCTTATGTGGGTCGTATTTCTGAATTTGTTGTGTTATACGATTATTGTTGTGGGCTGTGGTAGAGTTTGAGTGTGTTACAGCTTGTGCATGTGTCAGTTAATGCATTGTGACTTGATGGATGTGTCTGGTTCAGAACAAAATACGGCGAATTTATTAAAGCATAAACAAAATGATTTCAAATAACAAGTGAAGAAAGAAAAAACATAATTGAAGAATCATTTTATATATTAAAGTAAGATGCTGATGAAGAAAATAGATGTGGGTTAAGGCAAATGAAAAGAGAAGCAGACCGTGCTGCTTGATAGAATGATATTGAATAATAGAAAATAAAGTGTTAGGTAGATGCAGGTTAGGGGAATGAGTTTATAGATGCATGTTCAGAAATTGGAAGGGTTAGTGTTTTAAACACAATGTCATCAAATTGATGGTATTTTCCAATGCTGGAAATGATAAAGACTATGTATTATAGTCTACAATACTACTTATTCCAATAAAGACATTATAATTGATCTAACCTGATCAGACTTGGACCGTCACGGCTGGCTCCGAGCTGAAGTTTTGAACGAGGTGGGGGGGGGGTACCTGCAAGACACTCCGATGCTGAAATAAGTAAGATCGCGAGCAGGTAAGAGTATGAGTATGGGTAAAAGAATGAATACCTGACCCTCTGGGAACAAAGGGTATTTATAGCCCCCAGCGCTGGGCCAAGGTTCCTTCATTGGGCTGGGCAGGTTTGGCCCAATGGAGGAACTGCCAGGTTCTACGTGTATAGTAGGGACCCGCACGTGGTCCCCTTCCTGGATGTTCTGCGTGAAGTACGGACAGACGAGGACACGGTCTTTTCGGGATCCAGGTGGTGGCGTAGTGGATAGAGTTTGCCTGGGAGGAGTGCTCGAGCTGAGGTCGAGCAGGATAACATGGAGTCGAGGACATCACACTAGCAGGAAATGACGGGCAAGGATATGGCCTTTTGGTCGGCGTGACCCTTTGCAAGACCGTTTGGATTGGGCCTTCACCATTGCTTTTGGGCCAGCCCGACCCAGTCCAGAACAATAATTAATTAGGGTTTAAGGTAAATGAATGATTTTAGTAGGTAATTATATTTAGGGGCATGAAAAACACTCTTAAAATTGATTTAGTTTAGGTAATTAAGTACCTTTGATGGTAATTAGTTTTTATATATTAAAATAGATACCCCTATTTATACAACTTTAGATTCATTTTAGACCACTCAAAATTGTCAGTGAAATCACAATCTTACAAAACTGTCAACAAAATTCTGATCGTTAAAATTTTTTGAGTCAATACACTACCTGAAATTTCACCATTCAACTAATATTTCGATACAAAATGTTATATTTTAAAATTTCCTAATTTTGGTGGTGGTATTTAAATTCTCAAATTGAATCATGATACCAAGCCAATCATAGACAACACTTAATTTCTTTTCAATAGAGTTTAGTTTTAAAAAAAGAGAATTTATTTTTTCCACTTTATAGTATAAAGAAATACCCTACATATTTTTTAAAATGTCCCAGAAAAATTAGAAATACATTTCTAGTGCGCATCCACACATACAATTCTTTCATTTTTGAGTTACGTCCCATTTTACAACTTAATTGTCTTTTTGGAAGTTTTCTTCAGAAATGCATTTCCGATTTTTAATTTTGTACAATTTAATACTACAAGTTTCAAAAGAAGAGGTTTGTGGTTTGTGATTTAAGATGCTAACGTTTGATTGATTTTTTATTATGTGGTTATGATTCAAATCACGATTTAGATCTGCTTCCATTGTAAAATTTTATATTCTCTTATCGAAAATTTAGTAAATTTGATATAATTGTAAAAATTTAAAGGTTAAAAATTAAATAATACTTATTTATTTTTCTATATAATTAATTCTATTGAGTAGAGAAGGAAATGAGGTTAATTACTACTTTAAGTGATTTTATAAATTTTCATTATGCTATATTAAAAACCGTAAATGTATTTTCAATAATTTTCGAAAATATATTTTTAAAATAAATTAAATTATAAAATAAAACATATCTTAAAAATGAAAAAGTTATATATATATATATATATATATATATATATATATATATATATATATATATATATATATATATATATATATATATATATATATATATATATATATATATATATAATGTGTTTCGAAAATGTATTTCTAATTTTTAAAAATATTTTTAAATGATGCGTTAAAAAAAAAGCATCTGGTAAAAAAAAATCCTCAAAAAAATCAAATCATGCTGTAATATCAGTTTTGTATATTACTAGTAATTTAGAAAATATCGTCCCAAAAGTATCGGTTCGTAAATTAAGCCAAAAAATTAATCTCAAAGTACTTCATCAACGCATATTTAAGACATTAATTAATTAAAGAATTTAATTCAATTAAACTCTTAATTAAATCATCTTATCTTACACACTTAGATAAAACAAAGAATGCCAGCGTGGTTCGGCCGAGCATGTTTTTTGAGCCGCATTACAGTTTGTCCAAGTCCAAAGGCTCGATTCTAGTTCTGAAAATTTCCCACTTCCCCAATAATTCTCTCTGACCCAATGATAAGTCAATCGCAATTCTGAAATCCAAATTCCCTAGATTATCTCCGCGTCTTTCGATCCGCAATGGATCCATCGTCACTCCACCAAAACGACGCTTCTTCTTCTTCTCCACTCTCCTACACTCCTCCCTTGTACTCCCGTTGCTCCTCCTCTTCTTCCGACGAAGATGTCTCATCTTCGAACTCAATTCATTCCACAAACAGACGTCTCGACTGCATGCTTCAATTCCTCGACCGTAAACTTACAATCGCCGACCACCACGACCTCCGCCGTAACTCAATTCCCGGTCAAACTTCTTTACCGGAATTTATCGCGAAGGGCGGCGGCGCAGGTATCTTCAAACCTCCAATTCGAGCCGCGGTGCATCCCTCCCGACCTCCGTCTCTCGAATTGAGGCCGCATCCCTTACGCGAGACTCAGATTGGACGTTTCTTGAGGAACATTGTGGCAACGGAGTCTCAGCTTTGGGCGGCTTCCGAGAACGGAGTTCGGTTCTGGAACTTTAAAGATCTGTACTCGTCGTGGTATGGTGTTGGAGGAGAAGGTGCGGTGAGAAGCGGAGATGAAGAGAGTGCGCCGTTTCGTGAATCGGTTTGGACTTCGCCTGCGCTTTGTTTGGTGGCGGATGAAGGGAATAGGTTGATGTGGAGTGGACATAAAGACGGCAAGATTCGGTGTTGGCATATGGATTATCAGAGTTTGGAGGATGATAATAAATGGAGTAGTCGTTTCAAGGAAAGCTTATCTTGGCAGGCTCATCGTGGACCTGTTCTTTCTCTTACAGTCACCTCTTATGGTTATTTTTCATTCTTCATTCTCTCTTATTATTATTATTTTGTCTTTGCTTTGTTATTACGCAGATGCGTGTTTGGATTGGAAAATTATATTCATTTTTACCAAAAATACCAGCTCTCTCTGTAAGATTTTGTTTATATGTGTTTTGACTAGTATTTAGTAAGCAAGCTAGTATCTGTTTATTAGTATTGTAACTCCCACTAGAATGAAATATCAACAAAAAATATTTGAAAAGTTGGTATATCTGAATCCCATCCCAGGGGTTCACAAGTATTGGTATATGGCCTTAGTGTACTCCTCTCAAGGCCTGCTTTGCTTTGACTTTAAACGGGCCTCCCGCAAGTGGGCGGTGGAATTGGTCCCCTTAGATTAGTCGGTCACAAGGCCAAATACCAAGATTTAAAAAGAAATTGGTATAATTGGTCCTAATTTGTAACCAAATACATCAATTTTTCGCCTATCACCTTTGCTTATATTTCATTCTAGAGAGAATAATTTGTAATTGCGGTTTAAGTCTAGGAATAGGTTACTAATAATAGTATTAAAAGAATTTCTAATAAGTTGGCAGTGTGTTATGATGCATAGTTGTTTGATTTAGCTCCAATTTGGATTTGTTTCTTTTCAATTTTTAAAAAGGCAATTTTTTATTAGTTTTTGTCTTCATTAAAATAATTTTGTGGTTCTTTATAAGCTTATAGATGTTTATGGAGGAATTAGACAAGAGAGTTTTTGGCAAAATTGAGGTGAAAAAGATAATTTCAACTCGTCGGAGAAACTGTAAATTGAAAAATTAATTGTTATTGCAAATTTATTTTGGTTATTTTTAATTAATGTTTCCTTGAGAAGCTTATCTGAACTGATTTTACATGCTTGTTGTGAATGCGATACATTATTCTTTCTTGACTTGATCTAGGGGATCTGTGGTCGAGTTCTGAAGGAGGGGTTATAAAAATATGGCCTTGGGAGGCTGTTGAAAAATCTATTCACCTGACAGAGGAGGAAAGGCACACGGCTGTCCTATCCATTGAGAGATCCTATGTTGACTTGAGGAACCAGCTATCTACAAATGGCTACAATAATATGCTAACTTCAGATGTGAAGTACTTAGTATCAGACAATTCAAAGGCAAAGGTGTGGAGTGCGGGTTATTTTTCATATACTTTATGGTGAGCTTTAATCTCCTTGCATGGCCTCCATAAACTGTTTCATCCTAATTTTATGGGTAAAATTGTTTTGCTGTATTAAGTAGGTGACAGTATTAGTTAAGCACAGTATAATATCATAGTTTTATCCTAAAGAATAACCTCTAAGATAAAGCCAAATAGTTTGTAGTTTGATCCTTGATGGCACTATCTTTCATAATAAACTTAAACTCAAGCCCAAGACTCTTTTGTGTGAAGTGTGTGCTAGAGATGTAATTCTTCAGCATCCACCTTAATGCTTACAGTTCCTTAATCTAGTAGCCGAAATAAAATTTTCCTTAGGTAATGTTGTTTTTATGGCTCTTAAATTGAAGTTTAGTAGATCTGCCAGTGACATCGACACACACATATGACCGACTAGGTTAGATATTTGCAAGTGCTGAATCATGTATCCTTTTTTTATTCTGATGTATGCTCCCTTGGTGGTACCCTTTGAAATGAATAAAAAAATCATTAATAGACTAAGACCTCATTCTTATTTGATCCTTAGTTATTGCTCCCTTAGTCTCTTCCTGTTTTACATTACTTGGTTCTTAGATATTGCTCGTCATGTGAGTGTAGTTTTCAACCTGTCAATTTAATACAAGCTAGTGCTTATTAACGTATAGGGATGCCCGTACAAGAGAGTTGCTGAAAGTTTTCAATTCAGACGGCCAGGTGGAGAATCGATCAGAATTGTCCTCAATACAAGACTTTTCAGTCGAGCTTGTTTCTAGTTTTAAGAAAGACAAAACACAAACTTCCATTGGGTTCTTTCAGCGCTCACGTAATGCTATAATGGGGGCTGCAGATGTTGTTCGACGAGTTGCAACGAAGGGAGGCTTTGGGGATGATAACCGGGGAACTGAAGCACTTGTAGTAACAATTGATGGAATGATTTGGACAGGGTATTCAAGTGGTTTGCTGGTGCAATGGGATGGAAATGGAAACCGCATACAGGATTTTCTTTACCACTCATTTGCTGTTCAATGTTTTTGTACTAATGGCATGCAAATTTGGGTAGGCTATGCATCTGGTATTGTCCAGGTATTGGACCTCAAGGGTAATCTCGTTGGGGGTTGGGTGGCTCATAGTTGTCCAATTGTAAAAATGACAGTTGGAGTTGGCTATGTATTTTCATTGGCTAACCACGGTGGCATAAGAGGATGGAACATCACCTCTCCAGGACCTCTTGATGGCATTTTGCTTTCAGAATTGGGTGGCAAAGAATTTTTATATACTAAAGTAGAAAACATAAAAATATTGAGTGGCACTTGGAATGTTGGACAAGGAAAAGCATCTCAAGATTCCCTTACTTCATGGCTAGGTTCTGTGGCTTCAGATGTTGGTCTTGTTGTTGTTGGGTTGCAAGAGATTGAAATGGGTGCTGGATTTCTTGCAATGTCTGCAGCTAAAGAAACTGTAAGTTATTGCAATACGTAAAAATACTAGAAACTTAGTACATAACATCTATATTATCTTTAGACAACAACTTCATTATTTTGAAGCAAAGCATAGTTGTTAGAGCATGAGAACTGAGAAGCATTAATCTTTGACCATGCAATAATTCATGGACGATCGGATTAATTTCTCTCATGAGATCATGCTCTCACCTGTTATATACTTTACACACATGCACACACAATATAACTGATAGCTTTGCCTTACCTTTCTTTTTCATAACCCTCTCCTAACTCCTATCTCTCATAAGCATATAGGTGGGACTAGAGGGTAGTTCTGCTGGGCAATGGTGGCTGGATATGATAGACAAAACATTGGATGAAGGCTCAACATTTGAACGTATTGGATCCAGGCAACTTGCAGGCTTGGTCATTGCTGTGTGGTGAGTACCTATGATGAGGAATACACATGAGCTGGCGAAGCCATTAGTACATCAGAAATAATACCCGTTGTTTGTTATAGCATGAATATATATTGGCTTTTTAAGTTGGTTGGATATGAGATGTCAGATTATTTCTTTTCTGCTTTCTTTGTTATGAATTTAATTTTGGTTTGAAATATATGGATGCATCATTAAAGGCTGGACTCTTCACTTAATTGTATTTTGAAATGAAATATCAACTACTTTGCTCAATTATTTTGAACTTATATCATTGTTTTCTAAATTCTTTCTTGTTTTTTCATCAATAGTAGTTAATTTTGTATTCTTCAGGGTTAAAACAAACATTAGAATTCATGTTGGGGATGTTGATGCGGCAGCAGTTCCATGTGGCTTTGGACGTGCTATTGGAAATAAGGTAGGCATGTTCGTCTGTTGCTTTGCTTTTCACTCTAGTCTGGCTTCTTGGTTTCCGTTAATAAAGAATATGTGGAATAATCATAACAGAATCAAATGATTCTGTTTATATAGCTCATTAAAGATTAGGATTAATGTAATTAACTAGCTATTATTTCCTGGTTCTTTTTGTATTTAGAATTAGCATTCATGGGAAATTAATTCCCCTGATTCTTAGGTCAGATTTTTCTTCCAAATCCTGCCTTATGTATTCTATAAATACAATATATGTAATTCTCATCAAATACAAGGAAATATAAAATATATTTCTACATGGTATCAGAGCACGATCTGAACCATCCCTAACCTAGCGCCGCCAAACTATGGAGGATCCCAAATTTGATGAACCGCTCAAAGTGGAGACTGGATCATTTCCGACCAGTTCACACGAAGGGTTCACTCACCTCATCACATGCCATAAATTGAATGGCCAAAACTATACCCAATGGGTAAGGTTAATCAAGATTTTCCTCGAAGGAAAAGGAAGGGAAGGCTACACCACAGAAGATTCTAAATGTTTCGAAAAAGGAGACAAAAACTTTCAGAAATGGAAACTTGAGAACAACCAAGTAATGTCATGGTTGCTCAATACCATGACCAATGAAATTGGTGAAAATTTCATGTTCTATGACACTGCAAAAGAGATATGGGATGCAGTGAAGGAAACATACTCAAATGTTGACAATACATCTATTGTATTTGAGATTAAAAGCATTCTTCATGACCTTCGACAGGGAGAATCTTCTGTTACTGAGTATTTTAATATACTTAACAAACACTGGCAGCAACTCGACATATATGAAGAGGTTACATGGTGTTGTACAGAAGATCAAAAGAAGTATAAGGAACTGGTGGAAAAAGATAGGATTTACAAATTCCTATTGGGGCTAAACAAGGACCTAGATGAAGTTCGTGGAAGGATCCTTGGAACCAAACCACTTCTCAAAATTCGATAAGTCTTTTCAGAAGTGAGAAGGGAAGAAAGCAGGAGGAAAATCATGTTGAGAACACCCAACTCAGTTCCGTACAGCGAGAGCTCTGCAATGGCAGCAAGAGGGAATCAGCCTCGGCCACCACAAAAGAAAACCCGCTCCTGCAAGAGACCAGGCCACACAAAGGAAACATGTTCGATCATACATGGAAAACCTTCAGAGACCAAATTGTTCAAAGGCAAGGAGGGCAGGGGTAACACATCATTTAACAATCAAGAAGCTGAGGTATACTCTAACTCATCTCTTTTTAGCAAAGAACAAATGAAGGCTCTTCAAAAACTCTTTCAGCAAACCATGTTAACTGCAGAAAAAGGTGATACTGCCGTAGTAGCTCAAAGAGGTAATTACTTACATGCTCTAAACAATAGTAAGGAAAAAACAAAATCATGGATTGTTGACTCAGGGACTTCAGATCACATGACTGGAGATTTTACTTTGTTTAATAGTTATTCTCCATGTCCATATAACTATAATGTTTGAATGGTTGATGGCACACATTCTAAGGTCATGGATAAATGATCAATTATCATTTCATCAAATATTACACTTGACTCAGTTTTTTATGTGCCTAAATTGGATTGTAACTTGCTGTCTATTAGCAAGATTACAAGAGATTTGAAATGTGTTACTAAATTCTTCCCTAACTTGTGTGAATTTCAGACTTTGGAGTCGGGGAAGACGATTGGCAATGCTGAAGAGTGTGCTGGACTCTACCTCCTTCAAGTGGAAAAATCAGAAGAAAAACTCAAGAATAATTATCATGTTGCAGCTGCAGTTTCAAGAGATAATAATCCTGTAATGATGTGGCACTGAAGATTAGGCCACCCAAATTTCATATACTTGGAAAAAATGTTTCCCTCTTTATTCAATAAAAACAAGGAACATTTTCAGTGTGAAATTTGCCAATTGTCTAAACATACCCGAAACCATTACTCACCCCAATCCTATAAACCCTCAAAACCTTTTTCATTAATTCATAGTGATGTATGGGGACCATCACGAGTCCACAACATAACAGGCTCGAGATGGTTTGTCACCTTTATTGATGATCACGCACGTGTCACCTGGGTGTTTCTAATGAAGGAAAAATCAGAAGTAGGGAGAATATTTGAAATTTATCATAAGATGGTACAAACACAATTCCAAAGCAATATTCAGATACTTAGAACTGACAATGGTCGTGAGCATTACAACCTTGCTCTAAATTCCTATCTTCAAAAGGTTGGAATCGTTCACCAAAGCTCGTGTGTGGACACTCCCCAACAAAATGGAGTAGCAGAAAGGAAGAATATACACATTTTGGAAGTGATTAGATCAATCATGTTAGCCACAAATGTCCCACAACACTTTTGGGGAGAAGCTGTCCTTTCAGCAACTCACCTTATAAATTGAACGCCCTTCCGTATCCTTCAAAACCTATTTCCAACCAGCAAAATCTTTTCCTCTATTCCATTAAAAATATTTGGATGCTCAACTTTTGTCCATAACCTCAACCCTCACCAAAGCAAATTAGAACCAAAATCCATCAAATGCATTTTTCTTGGTTACTCTCCCCACCAAAAGGGATGTAGGTGTTACTCTCCCCATACCAAATTTTTTTACCACACTATGGATGTAACCTTCTTTGAAAATCAACCCTATTACACCAAAACTGGTATTCAGGGGGAACATTCATACATACATCATATCGAAAATTCAGAATACCAACTTTTGCCTCTTGAGCTAGCCAAACCTATGCCTAAACCAGCTGGAAAATTACCAGACCAAACCTCTAACATTTAGCCGAATGAAAGGACAACAAAAGCTATGACGGAAACAGGACCAATTATAATCTCATCCACATCTCAACAGAATTGTGATCCAAAAACAGGTAATTGGAAGGGTTTTTGTTATAAAAGGAGGAGGAAGGAGGTAGAGTCAAGCATAGCTCCAATGCAAAGCCACGAGTCAAACCAGACTCTAGAAAATGAAGTTCCCACAGGTAATATTCTTCCTAACTCTGAACATGTTGATACAACAAATATTGATATTCCTATTGCTATGAGAAAAGGGGTTAGAACTTTCACGAAACACCCTATTGAAAAATATATCTCCTATGGAAAACTATCACAAAGTTACAGGTCCTTTGTAGTAGCTGTTGACAACATCGAAATTCCAAATAATATTCAAGAAGCATTGCAGAAACCTAAATGGGCAGCAGCTGTAACAGAAGAAGTTCAAGCACTTGTAAGAAATGGCACATGGGAGATCACTGTTATACCAGAAGGGAAGAAAGCAGTAGGATGCAAGTGGATATTTTCAATTAAGCACAATGCTGATGGGAGTATAAACAGGTACAAAGCCCGGTTGGTTGCTAAGGGGTTCACACAATTATATGAGGTGGATTATGAGGAGACTTTCGCCCCTGTTGCGAAGCTCAATTCTGTCCGGGTTCTACTGTCTCTGGCAGCAAATCTAGATTGGTCCCTACACCAACTAGATATAAAGAATGCATTTCTAAATGGAGAATTAGAAGAAGAGGTATATATGCAAGTTCCTCCGGGACTTGAATCACCTGGAACCTCCAACGTGGTGTGTCGACTTCGAAAATCTCTATATGGCCTCAAACAATCACCAAGGGCATGGTTTGACAGACTAACAAAAGTTGTCAAGTAAGATGGTTTTGTTCAATGTCAAACAGACCATACTATGTTTGTCAAGCACTCTTTAGATGGGAAGATAGCTTTGTTTATTGTCTATGTTGATGATATCGTAATTACGGAAGATGATGATGAACAAGTCAACCAGTTAAAGAAACTTCTAGCAAAAGAATTTGAAGTCAAAGACTTAGGACAACTCAAGTATTTTTTAGGGATGGAAATTGCACGAACAAAGAATGAGATTTCAGTTTCTCAAAGGAAGTACACTTTGGATTTACTTCAAGAGACAGGCATGCTTGGATGCAAAGCTGCCAATACTCCCATAGAACAAGTAAAAAGGTGAGAAGATGAGAATGTACCAGCTAATAAAGATATATATCAAAGTTTAGTCAGAAAACTAATCTATCTAACTCACACCTGAGCAAACATTGGTTTTGCTGTAAGAATGGCTAGTCGTTATATGTCAAAGCCAACTGAAACTGACATGAGAAATGTGAACAAAATTCTCCAGTACCTGAAAGGTACTCCAGGCCGAGGACTTTATTTTCAAAAGAACTCAAACAGAGGTATTGAAGTCTACACCGATTCTGATTGGGCAAGATGTTTATCTGACAGTCGACTACAGGCTACTGCACATTTGTATGGGGTAATATGGTAACTTGGAGAAGCAAGAAACAATCTGTTGTGGTTAGGATTAGCGCAAAAGCAGAATTCAGAGCTATGTCACAAGGTATTTGTGAAGGAATTTGGCTTAAGCGAATGTTAGATGAGATCAAAATTTCTACCAATCACCCCATGAAGATATTATGTGATAACAAGGCTGCTATTAGCATTGCGAAGAATCCGATACAGCACGATAGAACAAAGCATGTGGAGAAAGACCGACACTTCATCAAAGAGAAAATTGATCATGAAATTATAAGTGTTAACCATATTCCATCATGTCAGCAAACTGCAGACATTCTAACAAAAGCCCTTCCAAGGAACATATACGAGAATATCAGATCCAATCTGGGCATGATAGACATCTACCACCCAGATTGAGGGGGAGTGTGGAATAATCATAACAGAATCAAATGATTCTGTTTGTACAGCTCATTAAAGATTAGGATTAATGTAATTAACTAGCTATTATTTCCTGGTCCTTTCTGTAATTAGAATTAGCTGGGAAATTAATTCCCCTGATTCTTAGGTCAGATTTTTCTTCCAAATCCTGCCTTATGTATTCTATAAATACAGTATATGTAATTCTCATCAAATACAAGGAAATATAAAATATATTTCTACAGAATATATTAGGATATAAGGTCTGACCGTTTTTCTTGTAGGATTATGAGAATTCTAAGGTAGGTCATTAATTTAGGTCAGATTTTTCTTCCAAATCCTGCCTTATGTATTCTATAAATACAGTATATGTAATTCTCATCAAATACAAGGAAATATAAAATATATTTCTACAGAATATATTAGGATATAAGGTCTGACCGTTTTTCTTGTAGGATTATGAGAATTCTAAGGTAGGTCATTAATATCGTGAGTGTTAGCTTTGGTTCTTTATAACAGTCCATGTATGCTTAAATATCAGATCATTGTCAAGACTGCTAAATTTTATGGTACGCTGCAATTCCGACCATGTGGAAAAACAGGCCGAGTCATAGGTCTGCAAGTAAAATATCATATACTAATAAAAACTGAGTTTTCTCTAACTGTGTGTACTTGGAGCAAACCAGTATGATATCAGTTGAAAGCTTTGGCTTGAATTTCAGGCAACATAAAACTTTGAGTCACGAATAGGATCTATTAGTCTTCTCACAGATATTTGAAGTATTACTGATTCAGTCATGAGATATCTCAGTTATGTTATGACTTGATATGCTTCTGTGTACTCAGTATTATTTTGCTTGCTCCAAATATTGGAAATAACTGATCAGCAATGATCTATAGTATTTTAAAGGCTTACTTATAGTGGCCAATGTCAGCAAGTACAGAAAATACCGAGGCACGTGGCATGTCAGCCGTGCCATATTGAACCATGGAATCCATTTCATCAAAATAAAAAAAATAGAACTATGAAGAGCTGAATATAAGGCATTTGACAATTTTTTTGTGATTTCAGAAAAAGGATCAAGTGTGTGAGGTTTGTCCAAAAAATGTATAAGGCGTGTTGAAGCAAATAAAAAACAATTTTTATTTTTTTGAAACACTTGTCTGAATTGTCCGACGCGTGTTGTATGAATGACATAGAAGTGTCAGACATCGACTCAAAGTGTCGAAAGCAAAGGAAAAAGCAATTTTTTAGGGATACTTATTTGACATTTCCGACACGTGTCGTACGATTGTCATATAAGTGTCAGACACCGACTCGTGTCGAACACTGCGATACGCCTACTCCTAGAGGTATCCGTGCTTCATAGATCATAAATTCATATTTTTATTAGTATGTTTGTTTATTCACCAGTCCAATCACTGTTATGCTAATAAATCGTACAACTTTGCCTGACCAGTCTGATCAGATAGGTGGTTTATGATGGTGCCCGCCCGCCCACCAAAAAAAAATGAAAACTTGACATGACTTAGCTATTAGCAACTAGTTTGCTTTTCAGAAATAGTATTTTGTTTTTAAGGTATCATCTTTGTGTTGCCTTTTGTTATTCTGACCATTGATATGGAAATTTCTTATCTCACCAGGGCGCTGTTGGTTTGAGGGTTAGGGTGTATGATCGAATTATGTGCTTTGTGAATTGTCATTTTGCTGCACATTTAGATGCAGTTGGACGTCGCAATGCAGATTTTGATCATGTATACCGAACAATGGCCTTCAGCCGGCCAACAAATCTCTTAAATGCAGCACCCGGTACATTGCCTTTGCCTATTACTGTTTCTCACTTGCCATATCCATGTATTTATCTTGACATGTTTATAGATCTGGCTTGCCATTGGTCCTTTATGTTGCAGCTGGAAACTCGTCTTCTGTTCCAATGTTTCGTGGTACAAATGTATGTACATGCTGTCCTCTTTACTCTTTTAATAATGCATTATGCACTCAAACAGTTGAACAAAGCACTAATTATTGAGATTGGTTTTCAGTCTGCAGAAGGGATGCCCGAGTTATCTGAGGCAGACATGATTGTATTTCTCGGTGATTTAAATTATCGTCTTGATGACATTTCCTATGATGAAGCAAGAGACTTTGTGTCTCAAAGATGCTTTGATTGGCTTAGAGAAAGGGATCAGCTTCGAGCAGAAATGGAAGCTGGGAATTCATTCCAAGGAATGCGTGAAGCAATAATAACGTTTCCTCCCACATACAAGTTTGAACGGCACCAAGCTGGTTTGGCAGGTTGGCAACCCCCACGCACACACACAAATGATCTCTGAAACTGAACTTGAAAGAAAACTTAATAAAAATAAGTCAAAGAAATGATAGTCTAGTCTAAAATGTGGCTTGAGTTGCTTTTTCTTCTCTATTTATGGCAAAAGGAGAATTTCTGCTACACACGCAGCTCCAATAACATGCACTAGATGCATCATATGATACAAAAAAGAGTGAAAAAAATCAAAATTTTATGAACTGACAAATCCCAGCCAATCTTCATAACAGTGATTTTCATTTTTTTCTTCATGCATGACATTTGTGAAATGCTGAGGGTTGAGATGGGGAACGGGAAGAAAGAATAGCAGAGACTCTGAATCATAGGATTTAATTTTTCATTCTTTTAGTGTGTGCAAGCTTCCAATACTTATAATGATAATAATAATAAGGGTTAATTATATGTTCCTGTCATTTGGGCGAAATTTAGTTTTGCCATGAAAATGGAACTACAATATAAATCTTTCGTTATCACCCCGTGAATAGTTAGGGTTTAGAATTGTGAACTTGCGATGGGAGAAGACCAAGTGAACGGAGAAGACGAAGCAATGGCTGTGAACGGCGGATCTCCAAGCGAATTGTTTCAGGTAAGTTCCAAATACAGTCTCCGGACGAAGCAAATACATATCTCTTATCTATTCCAACCTCTTCCATTAAGAGATGTATAAACCAAGCTGTATAAACCAACTCCATGATTATTTTGTTTTTGTTTCCACAACACCAAAAGCCAGTGGGAAGTAGGCAAGTGGGAAGTATTGGTCATTGGGGGTCCTACCCACAGTAATTAATAGTTGATCTCCATATTTAGTTTTCAAATGACAGCGATCAACCCTAATAAAAGGTCTCCAATCATTTATGAACCTTTTTCCATCAATCAAAACAGAAATAGAAAGATCCAAATGGTAGGTGATGGTCTCTCAATGTTGATCTTCACAGTATTTCTAGCATTTACCCTATTATGCAATTCAGCTGCATATCTCCACATACTTGCATATTGCTTGTCTGCATCTCCTTCTATGATTTTTCTTGCAATCAATTTAGCTTTCCATGCCCTTGTCATAGTTATACCCACTGAATAGTTTTGCCTCAATCTTGAATAATATCACAAATCTTTATTTTGTCTGAAGTTTACATTTTCTTGACCACAGTCTCTTTTGTAGACCTATTATCCAAAATTCTATCACATGTGTGGGTGTCTTTTATAGTCTTAATGACATAAGTGTGCTTGTGGCCCACATGAGAACAAAACATTAAAAAATCACTTTCCCCTCATTTTTCACAAATGTTATTTCCCTCCCATTTAAAATTATCCACTCACGAAAAGCCTCCCTAAAGTCATCTAGTGAATTGAACTCCATACCCCCACTTAAACTTAAAATTCTTATTAAGTTGCTCTTTCTTAAACTTCTCAAACTTAGGCCCTTTTTCATCTTCTGAGTTATCAGGATCAGAGCTATTAAGCTCTTCACTAACATACTCCTCATCATCATCACATTTCTTCTTACTTGAACAAGTTAACAACCCTGCTATGGCTGGACACTCATTAAGTGGTATAGTGACATCAATACCATCAAATCCATCAATAATAGCAGTCGTCCTTTCATCCTCACTATCATTCAACCCTTCATCAATCTTTTCATCACTAACCTCTAACTAGGGAACAAATTTGGGATTGCTTTCACTTCCACTTCCACCTGCATCATGTTCCACAAACATTCCCCATCAACTTGCATTGGACAAGCATAAGCAGCAAAATCATACGCATTCTCATCCTTCTTAATCTAGAAAAAATTAGGGTCTATGTTAGTGATTTTCGTCCACAACATGTACGACCCTTCTAAGTAACTCCACCCATTTACTATGCTTCAAATGTGAGGCATAGTCCACTTATCTATGTGTTCTCCAGAAATCAAAGTAGAAACACCATCCTTGTAAATCGTTTCACCATCACTAAGCTATACAAACTCTCCTCCATGACGAAAAACAACGTCAAACAATACTTTATTCTGAAATAATATATTGAATACCAGAAGAAAAATGAGGGGTATAGGGTGAGAGTTGAATGTAAAAAAAAAAAAAGTTTTTAATGCTTTGTTGTCATGTGGGCCACAAGCACATTTATGTCATTAAGACTATAAAGGACACCCACACATGTGCAAGGGTTTTGGATAATAGATCTGTAAATTCAACGTGGGTAGCCAATGTTGTGGTCAAGAAAATGCAAACTTCTGACAAAGTAAGGATTTGTGATATTATTCCAGATATGAGGCAAAACCATTCAGGCAAGGGCATAGAAAGCTAAAAAATCATAAAAGGAGAGGTAGACAAGCAATATGCAAGTCTGTGTAGATATGCAGCTGAATTGCATGGGGTAAATACTATAAATACCGTGAAGATCAACATTGAGAGACCATCACCTACCATCCAATCAAGGTTTGGATCTTTCTATTTCTGTTTTGATGATGTAAAAAAGTTCATAAATTGTTGCAGACCTTTTATTGGAGTTGATGGCTGTCATTTGAAGACTAAATATGGAGGTAAACTATTAATTGATGTGGGTAGGACCCCAATGATCAATACTTCCCACTGGCCTTTAGTTTTGTGAAAACAGAAACAAAAGAATCATGGAGTGGTTTATATAGCTTGGCCTTTAGTGTTGTGAAAACAGAAACAAAAGAATCATGGAGTGGTTTATATAGCTCTTAATGCAAGATGTTGGAATAGAGAAGAAATATGTATTTATTTCAGACCAGCAAAAGGTAATCCCGATTCGTTTGGAGATTCGCTGTTCACAGCCATTGCTTCGTCTTCTCCGTTCACTTGGTCTTCTCCCATCGCTAGTTCACAATTCTAAACCCTAACTATTCATAGGATGATAACGAAAGATTTATATTGTGGTTCCACTTTCATTTTAATTTCAACTAAGAATACAAAGTCACCCTTCCAAGTGCCACGTAGCAAATTATAATACACAGTCAACAAATCAAGTAAAATGGTGTGGTGAAAATGGTTTATTATAAGGGGCGGATCATAAAAAAATTACTTCAGGGGAGCAAAACTAAATCTCGCCCAAATGGCAGGGGACGTATAATTAACCCTAATAATAAATTAAAAGGTAAATAAACCATTTTAAGCCAAAATAACTGCAGTTTATATTTGAATACTCTGTCATCAGCACTGCTTTAAAGTTTCTAATATGGGCATGACATTGGATTTGTATGAAATGTTATTTTGAAGGGTATGATTCTGGTGAAAAGAAACGCGTCCCTGCTTGGTGTGACAGAATTTTGTACCGTGATAGTCGTTCTTCTTTGGTTGCTGAATGCAGTTTGGAGTACCCTGTTGTCTCCTCAGTATTGCAGTGAGTGTTCTAGTTTATATTTTTATTGCATCGAGTATACGGTCAAAATACCCTACAGTAAGGACTTTGTACATATTAGGTCTCATTATACTTGGAATGTTCTGCTTAAATCGATGTGCTGCTCTGACCCCTCTATTGATGAGGAAACTTTATTTTGTTTTACATACACATACTTAAAAGTGAGGATTGAGTTAGCTATCAGTACCTGTTGGGATTCATGAGTATATCACAATGATATCGGAGGATAGACAGACAACTTTATTATGAGACATGTGAAACGAGTCACAGTTGTATTACAGATTTCTAAAACAGGATACTACTAGATAGCCAATATTTTGCTAGAACAAGTTGGCATCATCATGACAAATTTTGCTGAACTTTGTCGCACTTTTCTTGCGGGTAAAATATATTTATGGTCCCTATATGTGACATTTTTCAAACTGGTCCCTATTCAAAATAAAATTATATTTAGTCCTTATATGTGTCACTATTTTCAACTTTTCCCCCTACACATCACAAAAATTCCATGTGAGTGTAACGCTGTCAAAGCGGAAACAGATGTTCAGGTTAACATTGAAAATGATTGTACTATACAAATAGGGACTAAATTTAAAAACTTTTTACATTTAGTGATCCAATTGAAAATGAGTGTCTTATATAGTGGTAAAAATATATTTTAACCTTTACTGCATGTGTAGCATTACTATCCAAAGTATTTCAGAAAAGCATGAGGGGAAGCACCATCTTTTTCTTGCTACTTTTGTTTTGATTAATATCATCTTACCTTCAATAGGTATGAAGCGTGCATGGATGTCACAGATAGTGACCACAAGCCTGTGCGCTGCATAATTTCTACAGATATTGCTCGAGTAGATGAACCAATACGGAGACAGGAGTTTGGAGAGATTCTCACGTCAAATGAGAAAATAAAATGTCTTCTGAAAGAATTGTACAAGATTCCTGAAACTATCATAAGTACAAACAACATAATTCTTCAAAACCAGGACACATTAATTTTGCGCATTACTAATAAATGTAAAGAAGACAATGCTTTGTTTGAAATAATTTGTGGAGGGCAGTCTACTATTATGGAGAATCGGAAGGCAGCAAACCATCAGTTGAGAGGTTCCTTTGGCTTGCCTAGGTGGCTTGAGGTAATATTCACTATTTAAAATATTATTCTATAAATACTGAATTGTTTTTATGGTTTACGGAAGGATTTTTGTTTCAAGTATTTTCTTTCTATTGGTGTATTTTTTATAAAGTGACAGAAAAGTAATGAGGTAGATGCCATGCCAAGATATGCTTCACATGCACACACATATACATACATGTAGCGAGTAACAATTTATGTTTGTTAATATTCTCCTAGAGGTATAACTCGCCAACGCTCATCTAATGCTCAAAAGTTATACGTTATGGTATTTATACTACAAGTCAGTTGAGAATAGATTGAGATGTGTATTGAGAATACAGAAGTTTGTCTTTGATGTTTTTGCTGTCAGGATTTAGAAAATCCATTTTCATGGAGTCATTGTGAAAATTAAAATTATGCAAAAGAAAGAAAAGAAAAAGTGAAACATGAAAGTTAGAATTATTAAAAAACAGTGAAAATATATAAGTTTCAAATTGTAGTTTTGGTCAGCTCATTGCTGTCGCCACTTTTAGGGGTATGTCATCCAACTTGATCAGCATTCACATTATCATACAGTTATGGCCACAGTAGCCGGGGTGTTATGTCTGCTTCATATGCGGCAATTTACAATTCATATCCTTGTGATTTAAAAAAACTAGTTCCAGCAATTGGATTTGGACCTACAAATTAGTTCTAAAACCGAATTTTGTGTGAATACTAAACTTGTTTTGCTTTAGAGAAGACGCCGCCTTTGTAATGAACCATATGATAATTACTAGCACATTTTATGATTCAGATAAGCCCTGCAACCGGTATTATAAGACCAGATCAGATTGTTGAGGTATCAGTGCATCATGAGGAATTTCAGACTCAGGAAGAGTTTGTCGATGGTATTGTACAAAACTCTTGGTGTGAAGATTCCAGAGACAAGGAAGCAATTTTAATTGTTAAGGTGCATGGGAATTACACTATCCAGACAAGAAATCACCGAGTCCGTGTTCACCATTGTTATTCATCAAAGAAAAACCAACTCTCAGACTCTCAACCAAATGGCTCCAGACATGTCCAAGGAAGTGTACTTCACCGATCTGACATCCAACGGTTGAGCAGTTCCTTTGATGTGGTTGACCAGCTACATAAATTGCATAGCCCTTAAAGGAGAATTTTGAGGTGAGTCTATGTGCATGAAACTGTTTTATTTTATTATTTTGGTGGAGGAAGAGATAATTGTTAGACGATCTTGTAAAGAATGAGTTCATGTTTATGCTTTCAATCCTCTAAGCATCTTGATTATGTTGCTAATAATTTTTTTAATGATTTTTTTTAACAGGGGAGCTTTTGTGGCTGTGGTTCAGCTTTCATCATCGAGCTGATTGAAATGTATAGAGAAAGCAAATGCAAGGCAAAAAGTATTGACTTACAAGATCCATTATTTAATTTAGTCGGAAACAAGCTCAATTTAACCTGTAAATGTCAAGTTTGTCTTTGTACAATGGTTGTTTCCAACAAATATTTTGGGACATTTTTACCTTCTCATTATTTGCTTGGAATTTTGTATAATGGGTTATCGTATGAGAACTTCATCAAATACAATATCTCAATATACATAATAAAAGAAAATGGGTTATTGCTAAAAATATCTTAATTATAGTATCCAATACATCATTATTACATCATTTTATGTTCGAATTTGAACTGTTATTACATCATTTTATGTTCGAATTTGAACTGTAAAAATAAGTTATATCGAAAGTTATTCTGATAGTTATTCGTGAAACTAACTTTTTGAAAACGTAACTGTTTAAAAATTTAATTTTCTACAATGTAATTGTAGAGATAAACACGAGCCTATAAGTTTAGTTATTCTGATAATCATTGAGCATGTAAGAAAAATATCTTTTCAGTCATTTTGAGCAAATTTCCATTTCTCTACATAATATCTTTCTAGCCAGGTGTTCTTATAATGAAAAGTGCTCCATTTTTTGTTGTCATTACTTTTAGTTGTGCTTACAATCTATTGACAATTTCTACTCCAAATCCCTTTCAACTAACATTTCGAGATCAATCCTGAAAATCCAAGTGGCATTTTCAGGTTTGGTTGAATAAACATAATAAGAACAGACTGTTGGAGCCACTAAATTATCAAACCTAAGACGAACAACAACCCTTTTTTGACTCCACTTCTACTTCTCGGTCCCCTTCTTGTAGAACAACAGTCTTTCCATTTTCAGTCCAGGGAGTATCCTGTTTCTTGAGCTCTTGCGACATCATAACCTTCCGGCTTAATATGTTGTAGATTTCTTTCACAACTGTTTGAAAAGCAGAAACTACATTTGATGAATCAAGTGCTGATGTCTCCATGAAGAACAAACCCTGAGCCTCTGCTAAGGCCTTGCCTTCGGGCGTAGGTACTTCCCTCGCATCCTTAAGATCTGACTTGTTCCCAACAAGTATTGTGACAACGTTCATATCAGAGTGAGCTGTTAAATAACACACCAGTACACTTAATCATTGTTTCATCATATATTCAAAACCATCAATATTTGCATGCATACATCTTTTTGAAGCAAAACAAAAAAAGACAAACAACCATCAATATGTGCATCGTAGGATCTTAAAGTAGGATCTGTCAGCTTGTGAAAGATTGTAAAGTGAGTGTTGGAAAGAGATTAATAGAATGAGTGCTGCTAGTACTACTCAGATTGTATACTCTTGGTAAAGCAGCCTATGAAACCGTTTTCCTATATATTGTACCAATCAAATTTATTGAGATGTTTTTCATTAACCTCAAACATAGCAAGAAAGAACTAAAAAAATCAAGAAGGCAGATTCAAATATAATTATAATTCTTACTGTGAAGTTCGTTAAGCCATCGACCAATGCTATCAAACGTTTGGCGCCTGCTAATGTCATATACCAGAAGTGCTCCGACCGCACCCCTATAATATGCAGAAGTAACAGCTCTGAACCTCTCTTGCCCAGCAGTGTCCCATATCTGCGCTTTAACTTCCTTTCCGTTAATTTCCATTTTTTGAGTTTGAAACTCTACTCCTATAGTTGACTTAGAATTAGGATAAAATTCATCCCTGGCGAATCTTGCAAGTAAATTTGATTTTCCAACAGCTGAATCACCAATTAAAACAATTTTGAAAAGGTAATCCTCGGTCTTCTCTTCTTCATTATAAAAAGCCATCTGTAAGTCCCAAGGGTTGCCGGTGGGAAGAAACAAATCAACAATAAATAATCACCATGATTCTGGCTCTCTCCAATACTAGAATGTCACCTGAGATGAGCACAAGGATTAGAAACACAAGAACAACAACTAAAAGAGATTCGGAAGACGGATCAGGTATATATATTATTGACAGTGTATTTCAATTTTTTTTTAGATGTATATGTACCTAATGAAGCAACGGTTGTTTGTTTCTAGTGTACAGAAGTGCATCCACCCACCATCAGCATCCAGACCTCAATCCAGACGAACCAAAATTTTCTGGGATACCTGAAAACCAGGGTAATTAAAATCGAGATTTTACGTCAAATTGAGATTTTATGCAAAATCGGGAAGGGGAAGTGAAATGGTAAATCATTGAATCATAACACTAATAGTATGATTATACAAATTTTAAAACTCATATTTATGCATATAAATTCATATATATGCATATAAAATCGCATTAGTAAGAAAGAAAACCTTAAATCACTTGAAATACTTGTGTAGATTTAAAATTCACAAGCATAGCTCACAAACTAAAACCTTAAATCACACTTCAAATACTTATATAAATTTAAATTTATTCATAAGCACAATTGTATAAACGTTTCAAAGATCACATGATTATACGATTCAACGATTAACAGGGGGTGTTTACCTGATTCCACCAAAATAGGATTATGCCTATACTCTAAATCGACGAGAGCAAGCATAATCGCAAAATCGTGGGATTTTAACTACCATGCTGAAAACATCAGTTTATAATATACAATCATAGGCAAATGAAGTACTGTTTGTAACCAGAAGGAAAGGAGTTGTAGAAGAAGCATTTGCAGAGGTGCTGTATATTCTATGGGTTTTATTAATGCTAGTATGCAATTATGATGATAAAATAATTTCACTTATTTTTCCACAATTGTTTCTTGAGAAAAAAAGAATGGTGCCGGCGAGAATCAAAACCTTGCCATGAAATAAATTTCCACCGATTATATTGTTCCAGCTCATGATTGTTTTTATGTTTTTAAATATATCAGTGTAAAGTCGAAAAGTTTTATGCCTCTTTTTATAACCTTCGTCACAGAATTATAAAATGGCTGTATATTTTCTGGTTTTATTCATCTAAAATTATGGTACAGTTCAATTGTTATCATGTGAGTCGCATTTTGGCACACATGGATATGGTTACTTTTCGTGTCATCATTTTTCTCCTTGGCATACATGGATAATACCAAAACACATAACAGGTGGCTGATTTAGCAGTTAGCATCCATGGGTTCCTTGTCTGCCTTTCTAACCGGGGATTGATATATAGGAAGAAAAACTAGAGAAATATGAAAAGGATTATCAACAGTAATAACTTTTGCAGGAATGGAAAAGGATTGATCAAAAGATCCAGAAGACTTCCAACTAAGGCTATTGAATTTTCCAGGAAAAAATAATTTCATAAATTTTGTTTTTAGCCTTCGCTAAAACACTATGTAAGGTTTTCTATAAGATGTTTGCTTCCTAGCTTAAAAATATTTTTAAAAATAGCATAGACTGATAAGTCATAATACGGAAATACCTCAAACAACTTCTCTCCTTGTTTTCCCCTCCGTCCCTTGAACTCCAACTTACGCTTTCACTCTGTTTAATATCAGAACCTGTTAATATGTAAACATTTATTAGATCATTCTTACCCAAAAAAAATAATCAAAAAAGGGTAAAACTTTAAGCATTAAATAAGGCAGGTACTATAACCAGAGGCAAATTCATATCAATATTCAACGAAGATGACTTCTATGATTTTAGTAATCCATGTAGCTAACACTAATAAAATGTCATGAGCCAAATAGCACAAAAGTTTCTGATACTACGTAAAAGCTCCCGAATAATTTTAATTCTAGTGCATCCCTTGAAATCTGACAAGGCTAAAATTTAGCTTGACTAAAAGAATGTAGCAACCTTTTACAAGAAATAGCCAAATAAATTTAGGGTGGCAGTGCAGTGATAAAGGAAGATATTATCAGAACAGAGAATGAAAGCTTAAAATTACACGTCCATCAAAACAAAGGCACAATATCAGGTCTCCCAATGTGCTTTCTCCATACTTGCTCAAGCACCCTAAGACGAGACTCTTAACATGTTTTCCACAATGGATGCTAATACTTTCATTCCTAATCCTAGACCGCTTCAGTCATCATAATATTCTACCTCTACACACACTCTCTTTGTTGACATTTTATTACAAGTATCCAGTCCCATACAACATTGCAGTGATAGTTTCATATTACAAGTTACACTAGAAGCACTCATTCATCTCATGATCTCATTCACTCTACTTAAATCCCATTATCAGCAACACCAAATATCAACTCATCCAGAACATATATGCATACACAACAAACAAACAAACAAACAAAAAATGATTTTTTTGGCAGAATAAGGAAGCATATAGTACTATGTTGGGTGGGTCCAGAGGCAAAGGTGATGATATGGTTACATATAAACAACCAATCCAACAACTTTATTTTTACTCACAAGAAAAATAATCATCACAAGAAAATAATAATAATATAATAATAACACCGACAATAATGAAAAATGTCGGAAATAATAAAAAGCAAAACCGAGTTGAGACAATGTAAAGTGAAAATTGACGAGATACATAGATACATTAATCAATGAAAACGCGAATTTCAACAATAAAGATAAAAGTGAAGAGCAAAAAAAAAAGGAAAATGATATATAATATAATATACCGGTGATATATAATGATACGACGATATATGATTGAAGAAGGAGAAGAAGACGGGAGAGAGGGATTGGGTTGAAGAATTGGGGAAGAATATCAAATGAGAGAGAGAGAGAGAGAGAGATGAGAGAGAAGGGATCTACCGTTCTATGTGATTTCAACGTTTGCGCCTCCGCGTCGTTATTAATATTTTCGTGCAATTCTTCGTATCCTCTTTTTTGTTTTTTTACAATCATGTCACAAAATAATTTATGTCTAACAATATTTTTAGAATAAATTATGACTTTAATTGCGATTCATTATCAAAAATATATTGTTAATGCATTATTACCATTCAACTTTATTATTTAAAAAAATTTAAAATTAAAATTAAATATTTTAAATAATTTAATGATAAAACTGTTTTATACTGTCAGTATATTTTAATTAAATATATAAAATTATTTATAAAAAAATTAAATATTATTAAAAAATCAAAAATTCTAAAATTAAAAATGAATTAAAAAAGTAAAGGAAAAATATTTATTTTATTTCAAAATATATAAATTAAATGTTTCAATTCAATAGTCTAAGAGACAATCCAATCTCAAAATTAAACTCTCAGTTTATTTCAATTTTTATAAAAACCACGTTCATATCATCATCAATCCAGAACTTTTAATTTTATTAAAAATCATGTTCATATCATCATCAAAGCCATTTAAAACCTACACTCATTATTCACCACAAAGTCAAACAAATAATTAGTAAAACCTAGGTTCACTAGTCGTCATAATTAAAATTCATATTCATATCATCGTCAAAGCCAATTTAAATGATAATTTTTTACTAAGATAACCCAATTTCTTAAATTTTTTTTTGCAAAATAATCCATATTTTTAAAAAATTTCAATCTATCTCATTTTCAAATAAAAAAAAGTGATGCAGTATTACTTATAAACGAATTGGCATCTGCATCTAAAATGTAAGAAAGCGTCAATTGGATTGACGTTTATATCTAATGTTGTCAATTCAATTAACGTTTATGTGTTAAGTTTAAAAGGTGACGTCAATTCAATTGACACTAGTGTGTGTTGTGTTATTTTAGTATAAATACATGTGTCTCCTACTATTTTAACTCCACATCTGTTTTCATAATCTTATATTCTTTTCTTCACTAGTTCTATCATGATTGTTAAAGCGATAAACATGTTTGTTATTCGGCAACGAAGCCTCTAACGAGAATACGTTTTTAGAACATTCAAAGTTTTGAGCATCTTGAAAGGAATTTGAAGAGTTGGTTAGGCGGAGAGATTAATTATGGGGAAAGAATTAGAAGAATCGTGAGAGGTTTGTTTCATACATCTCAATTCCAAATGACAATAATGCTAGACAGCGTATGTGAGTGCGAGTTAAAGATGATAATGATGTTAGGGATATGATGTATGTATCAGATGATATTGTTTTGATTTGTCATATCGTAGACATGTTGTGGTGTTATGTCTTAAGTCTTATATATTTTTTGTTTGTGTTGTTGTTTTTAAGTGTGCTTAAGTTTGTGTGATGATTGTCATGTTAATTTTGTTTTAACCAAAAGTTATTATATATATCAAATACCAAAGTTACACAAATTGAAAGGAGAAAATAAATTATGATACACAGGTTGCTCTGATATTGAGACCGTTTTTTCGATTGTGTTCGGACTAAAGGCATATTCTATATAATCTTATCATTTTATCAGTTGTACCTATTTCTGTTCTAATACGCGTGCTGTTGAGGCGACCCTTTTTCTTCCTTCGCATCTCATCATTGCGTCAAACTATGTCCCCTTGATATGTAGGTCAATATTCCTCCATTGCTACCATCCGGAAGTTGTCATTGTAAACATTCATAACGTTAATGACCTTGTAAACGTCAGATAGATGGTCGTAAGCGTCATGATGAGTATATGTGCATGCCGCAATGACATAAGAGCAAGGCATACAGACGACAAGAAATTTGCCACAGTCGCACCAGCCTCTATTTAGTTTGACAACATAGGCTAAATTTGGTCTCTCTTCATTGTGGTCCATTGTTTCATGTACACTGAAAGTGTGTCTATGATGATCAAAGATTGTAATCACATGTGTGCTAGCTTTGATGTTTTCCTCTTTCATCACTTCCATGCAACTTTCATTGAATAATTGCTTTGGCCTTAACAATACACTCCATCTTTTTCCTTTGGTTGTAAAAAGTGGTGCCAACCTAAAATAGGTTGTTCTCACCAATGCGGTTTTTGGTAGATTTCTAATGCCTTTGAAGACGCCGTTCATAGATTTCACAAGATTTGTTGTCATGTGACCCTACCGGAATCCTCTGCCAAATGCCCTTGTCCACTTCTCCAATGGAATATTATCCACCTACCTTAATTCATCCGTATTTGACAATCTAATTTTGTCGCGGTAGTGTTGAAATGATGGTTGAGTTAGAGCATAGCCTGCATTCATCACTTTTTGTGAAGGTTCTTGTCTTTGATTGACCGCATAAAGTTTTGTGCAATATGTCTAATGCAATAGACATGAATAGAAGAAGGATTATGTCATGAGTTATCATGATTATTATAAGCACTCTCAATAGAAGCATGTATGTTTGAAATCAAACAAAGATTGTCTTGTGGAGTAACGTGTGTTATGAGATTCTTGAAAAAGAAACTCTAACCACCAGAGGTCTCACCTTCATCCAGAGCAAAGACAATGGGAAAGACATTACTATTGTCATCTTGTACAACTTTCATAAGTAAATTACCCTTGTATTTCCTATATAACCATATTCCATCAATTTGAATAATAGGTATGCAGAATGCAAAATGTAACGCCTCAAATATTAAAATAATTATTTAATCATATGGTCGTAATTTATTTGATGCATTATGTGGTTCTGTGTTGTTATGTGTGGGGTAGTATCTGATTTAAGTCGCGTTGAGAGGTATTGGAGATTTAATAGTTTATTGGAAATTATGGAATTTAGAATAATTATTAGAATTATTAATAAGTTGGAAAATTGGTAAATAGTTATCTAAGCTTTATGTAATTAAATAAATAGAGATAAATCAGCAAAAGAATGTTATGGGCATTTGGGTAAAGTTAGATGGGATAAGTGAGGTTAAAGTGGGAATAACATATTAGGGGTCCTAAGGGAAAATAAGACTTAAGAGAAGTTGGGCTTTTGTATTCTCATTGTACAATCGTGAAAATTTTAGAGAACCAGAGAAAGAAAGAAAAAGCTAGGGCAAGAAACACCATTGTCGGAGCTTAGAGAAACCTTCAATCCAAAAGTAAGGTGCGGTTCCAACTTTCTAAGAGATAATATAACGAAAAGTATATGGGGATATTGATTGTTGTGGTTGTTTGATGTATTGTTTTGTTCATGAAATTGATTTTGAGTTCTTCCATATTTTGGACATGGGATGTTTACCTATTGATGAATTTTTGATGCAATTGTGTGTATAGTTGGTGAAATGGATGCAATGATCTGATTAGAATGGTTGTGTATGATGGATGTTGATGATCACATGAATTTACATGTTTCAGTGTGTGTATAAAAGTGATTTTAGGTGAAAAAGGTTTAAAATTTGTAGCAGGAAAAATAGCTGATTTTTGACTCTGTACTCAGTGTAACCGGGTACAACATATGGAGTAATCAGTTACCTGTGTAATTTTTGGGAAAATTGGGCAAAACGCAAAGGTGTAATCGGCTATTGCATATGCGGTAACTGGTTACCCAACTGGACAGTAACTTGTATTTTTGAATTTCAGGGGTGTAATCGGTTACCCCATATGCAATAGTCGATTACCACTAAAGCTGACATAAATTTTTAAAAACTTGAAAAATTCATATCTTTTGACTCATGTGTCTGTTTGACGCGCCGTTTGAACCTACGAGAAGCTGAGAATATTTTATTTTCTATAAAAATAATTTCAAAGACAATAGATAATTATTATACAAAATTATGCATTTTTTGTGTGAAATTCTCACTTTATGTGTTATTGCGGTTATGCATATTTGTTGTTTGTGATGTGGTGTATTGTTGCAAGTAAAGGATAATAGGTGGTCTGAAAAGTATGTTGCATTGGTAGATGGTGTGATCGGTGGAAATAGAACTGACTGTTTTTAAGCTGGTTCGCGAAATGTCGCGGTAAGCAAGAGTCGCCACTGTCTTTTATATTCTCCAACATGGAAAGGACAAAAGCACAGCAAAATTCCTTCTTTGAGAATGCTTCTCGGTTCGGGAGGTAGATTTATAGAAAGGGAAGGTGTTAGCACCCTTTCTATCCGTGGTTATCCACGGGCTCTTAGGTACTTGCTCTTATGTTTTCAAAAGATTTGTTTGCTTTTCAAGTGTGTGTGGGTTTTGAAAAAGTTTTGTTTGAAAAATTTCTAAGTAACTCTTGTATCTGTCCTCAAGAGTGTATGAAAAATTTGTTTGAAAACTTTTAGAAAGTGTGAGTGCGAAAAGTATTTTTGTTTGTTTTGAAAAGAGCAAGTACCCATGAGATCTACCTACTCTAAGGAATTAGGCTGTGTAAGAGTCCTTTAGACAGTGCTATCCCACTATTGAGAAGTAGGTAGCACCGTCGTTGGAGTTATTCGGGTCAATTCGATTATTAGGGACATGTGGTCACCAAAGCAAATGGTAGGACACCTTAGAAGTAACCCTAATGTCCTAGATCCTTTTTATCCGAGGCAACCGTTCGAGGAAACTGGATCTTAGACAGGAGGGCGACCTCTAAGACATTCTATACTTGATGACCACTTTCGAGGCAACCAGTGAGGCGTACCCTAGGAGTGGCATGTGCTTGTGTGTTGTTTTCATGTTATGTTTATCTTGTACATGTTATTTGTGAGCTACGGATTGATTTTATTTGTCATACATTCTTGCAGGCATAATTAACAGTTAGGAGTGCGGAAAATAAATTGCGGAAAGATAAATTCTAGCTATTACAAGGCGCGGGTATATACATCGCCAAAAACAAAAACCCGTTTTGAAAATAAGAATGCGGGAAATAGTAAATAAAGAGATAAACCTAATTAACTATTACATTTCCGGAAGCAGTTACATAAATAATCAAAATAACGAATTGAAACTAAAATGCGCGCGAAAGAATGAATCGGGATGGCCTGAGGGTTTTGACCCTTTTTTAAGAAAGAATTGAATTTTTGTCCCTTTTGCAATTAATTAAAATTAAAACTAATAACTAATTAATTAAAAAAATGTTTT